CACTACGGGTACTTTGGAGCACTGCAAATTAATGTTCAATCAATGTTAATTTAAAAAATATCAGTTACGCAGAATTCCAAAAATAATTATACTAAAACAATAGTATTACATAAGCAATATCACAATAACTATTGGAAGGATTGCATTGAAACTTGGTATACACACATTCATGTTTCAATACTTTGGTTTATCACAAAGATGTTTCCATCATACTCAGCTGGACTATGTGTTTTGTTCTTATTAGCGAATGTTAGTTTGCTAACAAGCTACATTTAGATGGTAAAAATGGTAAACATTATACCAGCCCATAACATCAGCATATTAGAACTGTCATTGTGATGTTAACATGCCAACATTAGCATTTAGTAAGAAGAGCCTCATAGAGCTGCTAGCATGGCTGTAGAGTTTTAGTCTTGTTCACCAAGTGTGATGAAAGCTTTTACCTGGTTTACATCTCCCTCTCCGATAACGAAGACAAGCTTGCAGTCCTTCTCCACCACAGTGCGGTCCTCCAAGACACACTGCATCTTCACAGTAACCTCCTGGCCCCAGGTGGGGGGCAGGGTGTTTGGGGCCTTGGACTCCAGCACCTTCTTCCTCAACAACCGGTCCTCTGCATGAGGAAAGAAGAGAAGGTCGTGCAGCAGGAAACCAGTTTAATCTGCTAGTTGTTGGTAAACACATGTTCAGAAACAGCCACAAACACTAAGCTTGATCTCAGACATGTTTGGGTCACTTCTTTTGGTGGTCAGGGTTTCAAAGCAAAATTACATTTAAAGGTTAAAGTGAATGAAAAGCACCAGTTACTTATAAGCTATTGATGCAAGAAGAACTACTACCAAGTCTAATGTGTGTCTCTGCCTTTCCCTGATGTACCTGTGATGTCCTGCCAATCTTCTGCCATGAACAGTTCCTCAAAGGTCGATGAAGTCCACTCCTTCATTGCATATTCTGGAAAGAGACTCTCTGCTGAGCTGTCCCTCTCCAACACAGCATCCTCCTCCGATGGGTCTTGGAATCGCACCATCTTCCAGCTGTTTGTTTTTTTCAGTTTCCTCCGTTCTTTGCATTCTGTGCCTCCACTTTCTTGCTCAGGATCAGAATGGCTTTTTACCTCAGTGCTTTTACTCTCTCCTGCACAGCTCTCTGTTTCAGGCTGATCTTTCCCACACAGTTCCCCGCCTTCCTCTGCAGATCCACAGGGCAGCTCGGTGTTGTGACTGTCCCTGTCAGCAATCTCAGAAATGGCCTCTCTTACCCCAGGCTCTGTAGGCTCCACTGCGGTGTCTTTGTGCTCTTCACAACATGGCTCTGTCTCCATTTCACTACAGAGAGCTATGGAAACTATCTGCATTAGTCTGCAAAAGAGATGATCCTCCTTGTTCAGCCAATCTTCCACTTAGGTGCAAGTTATCAGTTGTTGTTGTTGTTGTTGTTAACCAACTTCTGCCACTCACACGTTCTCAAAACGAAAAGAATATCTCCATGATGTAATATTTACAAAAATACATGTTGTGTTTCATATAATCCAACTCAAAGTGCATCCCTAAATCCTGGCTTCATCTACAGTTTTTTTTTTTAAAGGCTTTGTCCGGCTTGCAACTGCGTAGTTTCTGCAGTTCTGTTGCACTTTGACCTCCTCTCTCTCCCGCTTGTGTCCGTCTTAGTTTACGTAGTCCAGTGATGTGGCAGCAACAAAAAAATGATCAATGTAAAGAAACTGCGCAGCGCAACGAAGCACTCCCAGCCAGCAGGCTTGTGCAGTGGTAATCTGCAGGATTAGAAGAGAAAAACCTAATCTGCCAGAACGTCTGTAAGCTTCTTAATGACTTCACCGTCGTGCCCCATAACACAGTTTCCATGAACGCAATCTACCAATAAGATCTCAGGAGATACAAACTCTAACTTACTTTGAGTTACATTGGGAGATTTATATT